TGTAAATGCAGTTTTCAGAAAATTCCCTGCTCAAAAGTTCTTGTCTCTTGCACTGATTTCTTCTTTTAACATTGTGAAGCTCTGCTTAGAACCTTCTTAAGATCCAATAGTGCAAAATGCAAATTCTTGCACTTTTTTTTGACTGGTCTTGTATATTTATATACAGTACATAACGGCCTGTTGAGGCACAGCATTTCTTAGGGGGCCATTGCTTCACCCCTGCCCCCCCTGGTGGCACTCCTGTCTGAGGCAGGCTGAGGACCTCTGTGAGAGCTGCACAAAAACCCCTCTGAAAACCAGATCTACATCAGCACAATGCTCATTATTTAACAGTTTCTAAACCTTTGGTATTTATTTAAATGTATTATTTAGTCTTCATTCAGGTTTAATCCTTTGAACAGTGTATTTTCTGTTCTTCTCTTTATTTCTCAAAGTTCACAAGTTACACCTAAAACACTGAGACTTTTGATCTAAAAGTGTTCAAATTCATCAAGAAGTTTATTAGAGAGATGATTTCACTGCTGGGCTAACAAACACCTTCAATTGTTCCACATGTTCAAAGACAAAAAGAGCAAAGAAACAAGATGCATTAAGAGGTCAAACACATTCAGACTGACAGGAACAGAGTACTGTATGTACCACAACGTGTCACCATCAAGACAAAGAACAAGAGGAGGAGCTCCACGCGTTCCTGTGGGTGTGGCTAAACTATATGTACATAATGTAAGCACAGACCGTGGTTTGTTTGAGAGCGGTTAATAAAACACTGACTTCTCTGTAACGTGATGTGACAGAATAATGAGGAAGTGGGGCACACAGTGGAGAAATTAAGGGCATTCCTTAAAGGACTGCATATGGTCCAGCAGTGTTAAAATGCACAGTTTTAGTCTAAATGTTGAGAAATGAGAGTTTTAGCCATTTTGTTCAAGCTAAAAATCAAACCAACTGTTTCTGGGTGCCTGCAGGAAACATGAAGACGTGTCAGTCTAAAACCTGCAAGCTTCTCTCTGCAGCAACCTTTGACCTAAATGAATTTTAGGGGAAATGAAGGAGCAAAACACCAGAATTTACTCCATCTTCATCTCCCTGACACACAGTGTCCAGGAAACCCCTGGAACCGACACATTTCTAACCCGTGTGCGAAAAACTCAGAAAAAGGGTTTTATTTAAGTCGTTACTGACATAGTGACAAGTTGTGCTCCTCTGCATGTCTGTGGCACAGTTCTGACTGATGTGTAGGTCCCACCTCACACAGGAGGGTGGTGTAGGTCCCACCTCACACAGGAGGGTGGTGATGGTGTGTGTGTGTGTGTGTGTGTGTGGGGGGGTGAAACCAGAGAGGAGGAAAACACTTATGACTGGGAGGTGGGAAGGGTTAGAGGGGTGAGTGAGGGGCAGAACGAGACAGAGTGAACTTCTGTCATCTGTGTGTGTGTGTGTGTGTGCAAGCTTCAACATGTGTGTTAGTCTGTGTTTCGCTCCACAACAGGGCGGGCGACTAACATGTGTACACTGTGTTCTTGTGTTGCAGCTTCCTGTTTGTGCTGCTCTGCCTCTGCGCTCCATGTGAGAAATAAAACTGAACGTTCGGATGCCTGAAGGCAAATCTCTACCATCTACAAACTCCAAGACACAGGAACTGAGAAGTTACCACATTCAGACCGCCACTGAAGATATAAGAAGTGTGTGTGTGTGTGTGTGTGTGTGTGTGTGTGTGTGTGTGTGTGTGTGTG